TAGAAATAATTACCAATAAAACTGCAACAGCTTTAGAGCTCCTCGCTATCCAACAGACCCAGATGCGGGCCGCTATTTATCAAAACCGCCTAGCACTGGACTACTTACTAGCTGAAGAAGGTGGCGTCTGAGGCAAATTTAATCAGTCAGACTGTTGTCTACAGATTGACGACACTGGCAAAGCTGTCTGCTATCGCCATGAATATTAGAAAACTTGCCCATGTCCCAGTTCAAGAAAGGTCAGGATGGGACCCCGAGAGCCTATTTGGAGGATGGTTTTCCACCCTCGGGGGATTTAAAGTGTTAATTGGAATCATCGTCCTGCTCCTTGGGGCTGCCTCCTTTTACCCTGCATTCTCCCCCTTGTCATTCCCTCTACCTCTTCCCTCATAGAGACCATTGTAGAACGTAAGACTGCCGCTAAGGTCCTCACGTTATGGAAGTACCAAACCCTAGGCCAGCAGCCCGTTGAAAGAGATGATGCTCTCTAACCCACGTATGGGTTCGAGCATCAAAGCGGGGAATGGGGCAGTGGGCCCTAGACAAAGGTTTCCCAGACCATGTGGTCACTAAGGTTTTTGCACGGGCTTCAGACAAAGACATTCCTGGACTGTATGGTCATCAAAACTTACGCGTTTAGTATTTCCAAATTCCTACATCACCTGGGAGCCAGTCAGGAACTGGCACAATGGCCACATATCCTAATAACAAACCTTAGCTGCCAACCTGGAAACTTCAGGGTATACAGCCCCGAGTCCCACCTGGGTCGGGGCTCAGCCTCTGGGTGTAAATCCGCTGAGTCTGTGCTGGCATTAATAAAAGTTGCTTCCCAAACCTTGGTGTCCTGTCTCTCTGTCTGGGTTCCCCGCAACATAATTAGTATGTACAGTAAATGTACAGCAAGCAGAGCCAAAGATAGCTTTCAAAGAGCAGCAAGCCAGATTACACTGTTAATTGAATTATACCAGAGATCCAAATCTCAAAATAGAAGATTTAGTGCCACTGAGACAGGTTAGCTAGCATGTTGTTAGGTAGACTGGGAAGACCATGGTAGAATGAAACAAATGCAGTCATATCTTGGAAATCCAGGTTCTGAAATGACTCATTTGCTCCAGGGCAAAAATGTAATTGTGCTCTGGGGATAAAAGGGTTACTTCCTAAATCCCTTTAGGCTGGCAACAGAACTATTCTGATTGACAAAATCCATTAGAAGGTG